CTGATTAAAATTTTTTGTACGTATGTGCATGATTGTAACCTGATTACTTACAAATTTTTTGTACGTATGTACCTACTTGTACGTACATAATTATGATATCACCTAATTTTTAGTAATCACTGTGTTCCAACTGGAGATTTTCGCCCATATGAATACTAATTAAAATAACGAATGAAATTTTACACCCGATAAGTGACAAATGTTCTAACCCTAAACTCTACGTATCGGTATGTACTACATAGTGATGCAAAACGGCTCGATCGGCTTGTATATTCATTCAGTATAATAAAAACCGATTAATAGATAGACAACTTAAATTTCCTTTTATGGTTTGTGTTACTCGTCAAAAAAAAAAAAAATACTTAACGATAACGATAAGCAAAATTGAAATCAGATTATTCGTTGGTGGCAATGATCTGCAATTCAGTACTGTATACGTATATATATATCATACGTACGTACGTACGGACGTAAACTCTTAAACCATTTTAAAATGATTACATTACCAAATGAATGCCTCTTTGAAATATTTGTTAAACTTGATCGAAAAAACTTATTTTCATGTCTTCTCGTAAACCGTCATTGGTGCAGAAATGTTGTCCCAATATTATGGAGCAAACCAATTCCCATACAAAATAAAAACTTGATAAGAACATTTCTTTTGGTTTTAAACGCAGAAGAACAAAGACAATTAATACCATTTAATATAAGACTTCCAAATGGTCCAAAACGATTATTTGAGTATACATCCTATATTGAAAATATCAATTTTTCTAATTACTTTTTTGCCAACGGGATTGTAGATTGGCTCAATCTTGAAGGATCCGAATCTCAAGATTTCGCTTATTTTATAAACGATGAGACGACTCAGGCGATTAAATATTCTTTGATTACAATGCTTTTACGAACAACTTATAAACTGCAAGAATTAATGGTTGATACTCTTATTGGGGATAAGGTAATGAATCCATTGGCAAAAGTTCTTCTCAAAAGTGACACTTTAACCCATTTAAAGATTTGTAAAAGTGAACTCAGCTCAAAAAGTTGTAAAATATTAGCGGAAGCTCTTTATACGAATACAACCTTAACTTCTTTGTGTATTGCTGATAGCGAACTTGATTCTGAAGGAGAAAAGGCATTAGCAGATGTTCTTTGTAAAAACACCACTTTAACTTCTTTAATATTTTATAATAATCAAATTGGTGCTGAAGGTGCTGAAGAAGGGAAGGCGATAGCAAAAGCTCTCAGTGAAAATACAACTTTAGTCACTTTAAGGCTTGGCTCTCAGATTAATATAGAAACGGGAAAAACATTAGCAAAATCTCTCATTAAAAATAACAACCTGACTAGTTTAGAGCTTGATAACAATTATCTTGATTTTGAGGCCGGAAAGGCATTTGCTGAAACTCTTTGCAAGAATACTTCTCTAACATATTTAAATCTTTATGGTAATATGCTTGGTTTTGAAGGAGTAAATGCATTGGCAAGTGCTCTCTGTAAAAATGGTACTTTAACTGCTCTAAATCTTGGATATAATGGTATCGACAGTGGGTCAATAAAATCATTAGTGAAGGTTCTTCACAAAAACACTACTCTGGTCGCTTTGGATCTTTCCAATAACCGCATTGCATCTGACGGAGGAAAAATATTAGCAGAGGCACTTTCCACAAATACTACTCTAACCACTTTAGATCTTAAATTTAATAAGATTGATAGGCAAATTGTTAACGGAATTAATAATTTGCTTGAAAGAAATAAAAGCCTCTTAGATTCAAAAAATAATTGTCATTAAGGATATTCTTCAAATGATTCTTTATGCGCTAGTTTATGTGAGTAAACTATTATTATAAATTCTAAGGATATTATATAGTTTAAGTATTTTATGCGTTAAATAGTTATTTCTAGTTACATAGATAAACAAATGAAATAATAAATACTGTAAAGCATTAAAATTTATTAAATAGATTTTCAACCAACATATGCAATAAAATGATGTTAAGCATTCGAAAATAGTAAATGAATAAGTAAAAATTGAGATTCTAGATCCACCACCAAGAATAATTGACATTTCATTTTCAAACTCTCATGCAAAACTATTTGGGATTTTCCCAAAGTTTTGGCGAATGTTCTATTCTATGCACAAAAAGACAAATGGAACTGTCAACAGGAATCAAAAAGTCTCATATTATAATGACAAAAGTTGTTCTACTGATAGTTGTTAGATTAATTCCAAATATTTAAGCATTTCCTAGGCTTTTCCGATCTTAATAAATGAATGAATCAATAAAACCGTTTCACTAAATATATACAGTATATAATTTTAACTTTGTAATTGCTAATTCAGTTGTACTACTTGTTCAGTGGTAGTAACTGCCTGTTCAGCGGGCGTAACCGCTTGTTCAGTGGTCTTAACTGCTTGTTCAGTGGTCTTAACTGCTTGTTCAGTGGTCTTAACTGCTTGTTCAGTGGTCATAGTATAACTATTGTAACGAATTTAATTTTATAATCTTACCCTTTTTGGTATAATTGATTATTCAACTAAATTAGTATCGTGATTGTTAAAGCCCTCGAAGGAGGCAATGTGCATATTGACATGAGACTAACACGATAGCATGGGGCCTCTGATGTCATAAAGTAGGTTCCAGAATGTGTTCTCTTTCATATTAATCGAAATGTATAAAAGTGAAGCATAAACAGGATGAACCTCTTTCTTATAATAAAGTAACCTGGACATAACGATAATGATATTCTCTCCTTAATTACACACCATCATTAAGTCGCCCTAATAGAATTACCATGCCCTATGGAAGCCTTTTACGTATTATTCAATCATTGTGCGTCGCTCTCCCAACCAACCGTTACACTATTTTCTCAACGTTTAATGTAATATTTGCTTGTACCATGATCTGAAATCGTAAAGACGGTTAATTATGCTGTTAAAATTAAAACATAATATTTAAATTTTGGCTCTTTAGATTATAGCAATAGAGGTCTCTTATTCTTGGTTTGTATCTTACAACATTTGATTACTGTATCAGGATCTTCACGAGTTTGTAACGTAATAAGCTTCAAAAGATCTTCATTAGATCATCCATCAATCGAAGACTTATGTTTATCATAAATAAAAAATTTAATCTATCGCTATCAATTTTTCTAAATGCTTGTTAAAACCAACATGACGCCAATTGAACTATAAGAAAAAAAATGAATTTTAAATACATCCTAAATTTTTCATTGCAAGCTTTTACATAGACAGTGCACGGATCTTTAAAATTCTAATTTGAAAATATGTCAAAAATTTTAAATTATAGATTTATAGAGGATTTCTATTTGTATCCGGTGGGTATGATACCCGGTATAAGATAAAATCAAAAATCTTTAATATCTCAAAATTATACTAAGTGAAGCGAGATTGGAAGTCATTTTAAAAAAAAGTAGAATTAGAATTGCAAAGAGGCCGAGAGTTATATAAAAAACCAAAATAATCAAAAATTTTTTATGTATCTTCATATTTATATTTAAAAAACTATCCTTATGTGCTGAGCGCTGAGTTCTATATTCATTAAAAATGAAGTAAATTTATAATTTTTCAAAAAGTTTACAGTAATTTTGATTTACCAAATTAAATAAAAAGCATAAATAATTGATAACATCATGTTATTATCATACAGCAACTAGAGGATGCAGATGTGGGCGGCTTCGCCGCCCGGTTGAGACTGTTATATGTTATTTTTTAAAAGAAACAATGCATAATAGTTAAATAAGATTATATTGGTAGATAAGGTATATTTAA